TGTACTTAAATCTCATGTTCTACCAACCAAGGTACTCAGGCATCTCTTTCATATATTTATCAGTTATAAATTAAGCTGAACATCAAAGAAAATATTGGCAAGGACAAAGAACAAAAGAAATGAAACACTGTGTGTGTGTGTGTGTGTGTGTGTGTGTGTGTGTGTGTGTGTGTGTGTACACTTAATGAATGGAGTAGTCCCGCCAGTTAGAACAGCTAGTGATGCTGCAAGTTTCAAGGATTATGAATTGGAGAAAAAAATTATAACATGATCCTTTATTGATTCTTTGGGAATTTCACATCATGCCCCCCAATCCTGCACACCTCCTTGTCCCTCCATACCCTCCTCTCACCCCTACAGCATCCCTACCCTCCCCCAAAAAACCCTCCAAAAAGACAATTAAAAACAAACCAAAACAAAAAAAAATGTCTCTGTTGTAGGATAATCTTTTTGTACACTATGAAGATGTGTCTTTGCCAAAGTACCTTCTGATAGATTTAATAAAGAGATGAATGTCCAATAGATAGACAGGAGAGGACAGGCAGGATTTCCAGGGAGAAAAAGAATAAAAGAGATGAACCTAGGTATACAGGGATGTCGGTGAGACACCAACCATGTCGGACATATAGAATGGAGGAGAGGTAAAAAAGAAAACCACGTGGCAGAATGTAGATTAATAGAAGCAGGTTAATTTTAGTTATAAGACATAGTTGGGGACAAGCCTAAAGGCCAAGCTTTCATAATTAATAGGAAGGTCCTATGTTATTATTTGTGAGCTGGCAGTCCCAAAAGAAAGTAAAACAACATTTGGCACCCAACATGAGGCATGCAAATCCACATAGGGCCTGAGAAAGCTGAAAAATAAAATTCCAAACACAGAGTCAGATGCGGCTTCTAGGCGACCTTTGTCTCTCAAGCACGCCCTGTGTTTGCAACATACAGAGGCATGGCCCCTTTAATACAGCTGAGCACTTAAATAGACTGCACACTCCTGGGGCAGGAGACTAAAGAGAAGCACCTGCTGCAACTTCCCAGAGTAGGGACGGTTAGAAGCAGCTGGGATGGTTAGGCCGAGGGAGTTAGCAAACAGGCCATATGCTAAGCTAGCTGCATGGCAGAGGATCTAGACTAGTGCTGCCTAGTAGTTTAAGCTTAGATAATAAAGAAAGAAAAGAAAATGCTTTGTTGACTTTAAATTTTTTGAATGCTGATGATCAATGGGCAAATGCTGCTGAGAAACATTGTTTTGTAGAAAAAACTACTAAATTAAGACTGTCTTAACTTCAGAATGGAAGTCAGGAAATATGTTGAGTTTGGGGAGAGGTTATGCCTTTGTTTCCATTGGAAACAAAATGCTATGGGTTCCTTCAAAATTAATGAAGATCAGACTTAATTAGGGGAGACCTCCTGAAAATCTTGGCTACAGACATAAAGGAAAAAAAAATAGGTGACATATAACTTATTCCTCTACACGGGCACAGCTCTAAGACCAAATGAGACATGATAAATTTTGCTGGATACAGAGTTCTCATGACTTATTATTACATGCCATTCTTTCATGTGACATGGATGGAGATTTATATTACAGTTTGGTTATGCAGTCCAAATGGACTTATAAAGTTCATAGATGCCTTTCACCTGCTCAGACACAGAACGAAGAATCATCTTCAGCTGATTTGTACACACCGCACATTCTATACTTGTGTTACTGAAGACATGTATGCTACCTTTAAAAGATTGTGTGTTTTCAGAAAAAAAAAGACCAGACACCAATCAGGACAAGTAGCCTAGGTGATCCAGTCTCTCAGAATGCCTCCGTTGCAGTCTCCTAAAAAATTTGCATCCAGAACAACTTCAAAGCTGCTAATTGAGATGGTCCAGCCTCGCAGACTATTCCATCTAGGACTTCAGATAAACTCTGTACTTTCCCATCACAAAGAGACTGGGCAATAAATGACAGCAAGACACATCTGATCCTGACAGCACCAATCTACCTCAAAAAAGGATGATGGGCATCAAAGAACCTCCATATGGAGTTTGCTTTCAATGTAGGAAAGCCAGCCACTGGGTAAGAAACAGCACTTTCCTCAACTGCTGACAGTATGCTGTATAAACTGGACAATTAGGACACAAAAGAAAGTGACTGCCAAACTTTGCCAAGGCAAGGTAGAAGAGTCCATCAAAATTCCTGCTTCACAGAAAAGTCTGTCAGATATTGTAGGCCTGTAGGCCAAAGATGGATGTTCCAACATTGCAGAGGAAACTTGGGTGACTGTTCAGGCAGCCAGCTGCTTCTGTCATTTCTATAGTTTTAGAAATTGTTTGCTCTGCACTTCCTGTTTACTCAGGTAATATTTTATCCATTTTGGGTCTCTGATGGGGGTTTAAGACTAGATAATTATACCATTTTCTTTGTTACCAAACTCAAAAAAAGAAAAACTTATAAAAGAGATGTAAAGTTTATAAAGGTTGAGAGACATAGAAGCTTAAGTTGTTTATCTGAGAAAATACTTTAAGGTCTAAAAAGACGTTTTTAGGTTGATTATACAAGTTATGATAGAAAGTGGTTTAGATGAATTCAAAACAGGATAGATAATGGAGTATTTTCTGAATTTGCCAAGTACAAATGGACTGGACATTGTGAATGTACTTCTTATCTGATAATTGTTCTTATTGTATATAGCTTTACTGTGTTGAGAGTTAAAACCTTCCTTTTTATTTAGACAAAAAGGGGGGAATGTTGTGAGATCATCTTTTTGTGCACTGTGAAGATGTGGCATTGCCAAAGGGTCTTCTGACTGGATCAATAAGGAGCTGAATAACCAACAGATAGCCAGAAGAGGACAGGAAGAATTTCCAGGGAGAGAGAGAAAAGAGATGAATCTAGGTGTTCAGAGGTACCAGCAAGACATGGACCAAATCAGACATACAGAAGGGAGAAGTTAAAAAAAAAAAAAAGCTATGTGACAGAATGGAGATTAATAGAAACCAGTTAATTTAAGTTATAAGAGCTGGTTGGGGACAAGCCTAAGCTAAAGGTCAAGATTTCATAATTAATAAGTCTGCATGTCATTATTTGTGAGTTGGTGGTCCCAAAGGAAAGTCAAACAACACGCCCAACACCTCTCCATTCATCCTAGCGGCATTGGGCACTAGGATGTATCAACGCAGTATACCCTTTCATCCAATCCACCACACCCACAAAATATTCACTGCAATGAGTCACTTAATCTGGTTCCAGGCCTCTGGCACATCAGAATCACTGGAGCCTCACCAAAACTCCTCTTGGATATCCTGTTGTTGCCCCGAGTCACGGGGCTCCTGTGGTTATTGTTCTGCAGGACCAATCCCTTCACTCACTCTGGCAAGTCAAAGATGGGGCAGATGTTGGTGTGAGCCAACCCAAGGCCCAGGATGCAAGTCTGGGTGATAGTTGAGCTAGTCAGTTTGGACCACTTGGACTGCTCCCTCAGGGGAGGGGCAGAGCCAGCTCTCCTAGGCCCATGCCATCATGGCCAGCTCTTCCACGCCCATAGTGAGGGGTGGGACCATCTCTTCTGAGTGCTGGGGCCAGCTCTCCTGCTGTAGTGTCCAGCAAGGGGCAAGGCCAGCTATCCTAAGGCCAGTGATGGGCAGGACCAGCTCAGCATGGCCCTTTGATTCTAACATGAGTGGTTCCTATGACTCCCTATGGCAACACGGGCCATGAACATCATCACAGACCCCAGCTGCAGCAGAAACACAGACCCAGATGTGGCCCTTGGCATCAGTCCAGGCCTGAAAGATGCCATGGCCCCGAGTAGCAGCACAGGCCAATCAGACTGGCATGGCCTGGGTGGCATAGTCCTCGGGCAGAATTGGAGAAAAAAAAATTGTTTTGGTTTTTTTTCCAAGACAAGGTTTCTCTGTGTAACAGCCCTGGTTGTCCTAGATCTTGCTTTGTAGATCAGGCTAACCTTGAACTCACAGAGATCCGCCTGCCTCTGCCTCCCAAGTGCTGGGATTACAGGCACACACCACCACTACCTGGCATGAAGAAGATTTTAAAACATACATACACTCACAAAATGACATCCTACATATACAAACATAAATACTCCAGGTCTAGTTATTAATTTCCTTAAAAATTGTTGAACAACTTCTGTAAGCCAGGTACTATCCTGAGATACCAGCTCAGAGAAAAATCAAGAAGAAATCCAGTCCTGAACAAGTCAAAAATTTCCATGCATCCTTACTTTACAGTTGGAATGGATGAATAGAGATAACCAATAAGTTAATGTAACAGGTGCTAATCAAACAAAGAACAAGGCAACAGCAGTTTTAGCCAGAGTGGTCCCAGGTTTCACTGAGCGGTGCCACGGTGAAGCCAGTGGGCACACACTTGGGCATCTACAGCAGGGAAGGAGAACAGTGCCCACCCGCTTTAAGGTCAAGGCTTAAAGTCAGAAAAAGCAAGCAGGCTGCCGGTGTTAGCCAAGGGAGGACGCGGGTGAGTAGGACAGTCGGTCATAAAAGGATTCTGAGCCCAGGAGTGGCATGATTTCTGTTCTAACAGGATCATTCTGGCTACAAGGCAGAAAGCTGTGTGAGCAAGATGAATTAGCATCAACTGCCACTCCACAGGCAAGGGCAGTGAGTGGTACCGACCAGAAAGGGGGCAGTGAGCACAGGGCAGGGGCGGGTAACCAAGAGCTGTCTAATTGGGAGTAAGGCCTGCTCAAGAGGAGTGAAACCAGGCAGGAAAGCCAGTCGGGGGCTGCTTCTGTGCAGACAAGAGATGATGGTCTGACCAGTATCTCCACAGCTGAGCTACTGCAGAGGTCACCAAGGGGCAAAATCATGGGGCATCAACAGGACGTGCCGAGTGAAAAGTGAGTCGCTTTCTGCTGCCCACTACACTTTTTCAGTACTCATCATGCTCGGGTGCTGAGTTCTCAGTGGGTGCAGGTGACAAGCACTCGAAACATCGATAGTGAACCACAGCACACTGCCTCACTTACCCAAATTGGGATCTGGAGCCTGGCGTTTCTTAATTTTAGCTTCAGAAATAGCAGAATAGTAGGCACAAGTCATCTTGATCAGCCACGTCGCTCGAACCATTGGCACAGAATACTTAGCTAAATATGCAAAAACGTCCTCCTTTTTACTAAGGATGGGGACCTAAAAAGAAATAACATATAACAATCACACACTACAGCACTGCACAGGCAAATTTACAGAGAAGGAAGCAAGAAAGGGCTGGAAGTTATGTGCTGCTAGAAGAAAGTATGTCTGATGCAATTTCAAACAGTGCATGTGGCTTTAAGAGAGGGAAGAAACTTTAAGCCAATTTTCATTACGAAACGAAAATCAAAATTATGTTCAGCACATGGCGAAAATGGTTATCAGCCATGCTTTCTTATTTATAAAACAAAGTCTTGTCATATCCTCAGATGAGGAAAGTTATTTGCCTTATGAACAAACAGGGGAAAATAATTTTATGATACTTTTCCAAGTGATTTATCCCAAAATGAGATGGGAAAGATCAGACAGGATCTGTCGCCATTCTACATTTTATCTGTGGACACTCTTTTGCACGAGGTTTTCTAACTGCAATATTTCACAAATGCAACCATTTCCAGAAACCATGTGAAAGTGACTTTAGCCCAAAATGTTAAGTAGACTCTAAAATGATGGATCAGTGAATCTGCCTAATACACTGAGCCACAATAGCTGGGCAATTAATTCACTGGCTGAAGTAGACACTTGAGGCTGTTAATTTTTTCTTCAAGACCACAAAGGTACAATTCAGCCAATTAGTATCCCAATATACCAATGAATGGTTTGAAAGAGTTAATTCATTCTTCCAGAATACCTCATAAATATCCTATAAACAGCCTGCTAGTCTATGTAATCCATTCAATTTATGAATATGGTGAGAAAGTCAACAAGAGTACATTTGTGACGATGCAAGGAGATGGGACTAGTAAAACTGTAAGGGGCACACCCCATACCCCACAGCAGGGTGACTACTTATGTAATACTTCCTTAGGTTTTGCCAAATCAAGTCCATCACTTTTCAGCCATTTATGAATTTTGATAATACCAATCCTATGCACCTCACCAAGTGGGTATTTTGGTTTTTTTAGTGTGTGTATAAAAATTATAGCAATAAACATTTTGTCACCAGATTAGGGATCTCTCTATACCAGCCAAAGTGTCTTCATGCCATTGATTTGGCCCTTTCAAAAGAAGCCACTAGAACCTGTCCATGGATATCTCTCTACCACCCCCAAAAAAATCATACTTGAATTTGGGTTAGGAGGTCAAGGTTTCACACTTGCCAATTCATATAGCATAGTATTTTTCCACTAGCTTGCCAAGTCAAGTGCATTTTTTAATTTAACCATTTGCATGCCTGGTATAAGGTGTGATCCCTAGAATTTAAAAGTTTAAGTATTTTTTTTAATACAACCCTTAAAAATAAGCGATTTCAGTTGGGCTCTCCAAAGAAACATCAAGCTGTTCCAGTGCTGAAGGAACACTTGCCTGCCTTGCTCAAGGGGGTATCGTGTGTCCACACTGTGTTTACAGAAAACTGAAGAATTCCTGATCAGGGACACTTGCTGCCTTGAGCGCTGAATTCAGACCATGGCCCCCATGATACAGAAAACTACACTGTACAAACGCAACTAACAGGAGGGAAAGTCAAAGGGGCTACATCTGTAAAGCTTCATCGCTGCACAACACTGTGCTACGTTTTCACGAGAAAACGCCCTGCAAGTTTAGAATACAAGGCCCATCTTTGGTGGAACACGGTCTCTGTAGTTATTATCATTTAAGACAGAGACAAGAAAAACACAGGGTCAAACATTCACTCAAGACCTGATGCTTTTCGAGAGACTACACAATATGGAACCAGTGGCGTAAAGGGTACCAGTCCAGGTCAGGCTGCCTCTCATTGGTACACACCAAAAAGATGGAAGATCAAAGCCTAAAAACGCAGACCAATGCAAAGTAAAAGTTAGCATCTCCAAGGAGTCCTGCTAATAGTATCTTTCACAGATGACCAAAGGATTTATTTAAACAGCAACAGTTAGGAGGGGGAAATGCAAACAGTTGAAAATTTGAAATGTTTGGATAAAATAGCATACAAAACTGACCGACCAACAGATCTTACATGAACAGCACAGGACAAAACTGCAAAACCCTGAGTTGAGTCAAGTCAGGGCATCACTATCCAAACAAACAGATGTGAAGAAAGTTAGCTGATTAAGCGAGAAGATACGTAGAGATGGTTTTGTCCAATCTACAGTTTAGACCAACTTGGGGAGAAAATGATGTTTGCTGGTGATTTTGTTTGTTTGTTTGTTTTACAGTGATGGATCCTTTTTTTTTTTCCCCAGTAAAATACCGGACATCAACTTGATATTGAATATAGGCAACCACTGGGCAGTGTTTTAGTCTCTAAATCAATCTAGAGCTGCAAAGGAAATGAAGATGCTAAGTGTGTGCTTCTTGCATGCGCACAAGGCTATTTATTACTGACACATCTCCGCTTGGATGTCCACCACCACCAGCATCTTCCATTATCTAATCGGGACCAGAACGAAAGGGAATTCTCAGACCTCAGTAGCCTCGGGTACCCGCATCAAAAAGTAAGAACTAGTCAACTGTTCAAGAGGTAGAAGAGTATCCCTGGTTGCCAGAATTTTCCTTTTCCAAATCAAGTAATGGTGGAGACTGAATTAAAAGTCCTTTTCAGGCATCTCTAGATACTGTGTAACTTTATACTAATGGAAAGCCATGGTGGAAACATAGTCCATCCCATATGGAAAACTATTCTAAAAGCCGGGGAAGAGGTGGAGGATGACTCTGGATCACAGCACTGCTTCCTGCCGTAAGCCCTCGTCCACCATGTAAACATCAGAAATTAACTAAGTGGTTGACTATGAAGACCATGTAGAGAATGTGGTCCTTTGCCCAAATCTACAAGAGCTTTTGCCATTTCAAAAGGATGAAACTGTGAGAAGAGAAGAAGGACTCCTGGAATGCCTAAGACATGAATACATCAGAGTCAATGTTTTCTAAAGAAAATGTCTATGTTTGCAAAGAATTAATGCCAGGGCTTACCTGAGGGACACCTGACTTGGCCAGAGGCAGCTCCTAATAAAGAAAGAAGAACAATAGCTAATACAGCACACCATGAGTCATCTCCCTCTTAAAAGATAAGAGACCCCTACACCCTTAAGGCAAGGAAACCAACTCCTTATCAAAATTCACTTTAAGAAAGCATCCAAAAAGTATCCATAGAGATTGTAACAAAGGAAAACTTTAAAGAACACCCAGCTGACAGCGCAGAGGCTGTGAATCGGTGTTCAAAAGCCATCAGATTCTGCAGGATGCTCTCTGGCTTATATGGCCTTCAGAGACAATCAACCCATGGGCCACAGTGAGACCACAAACAGCTATTAACACTGTGGAAGAAGTGTTCCAACTCCAGAGTTCAGGAGGGTTGAGACAGCGGCACTAACTCCGTGGAAAGAGTTGGTCACATTTAAACAAATGATCTTCAAAGACTGCAAGGACCTTTCACATCTGTCTGTCTGTCTGTCTGTCTGTCTGTCTGTCTATCTGTCTATCTATCTATCCATCTATCTATCTATCAGAGGCATGCAGTATCAAGATATTATAGCAAAATAAAGCCAATGGAGGATGCAGGCACTATTTTCAAAGAGTTGTTTTCAAAAAACAAACAGGCAAGTATACCAAGGCATTCCTTTCTGAGCTGGTCCCATACCAGGTGGGAATGATAACGGCATACTTAGAACAGAAGATGGCAGCCCCTAAAACTCAGGGACTCCGGGGGAGATGAGAAGAGTCACCTTGGATTGTTTCAAAGGTATACAAGAAGTCATAGATAAAGACTAGGAGGGAGAGTTCTAACTTCTTTACGATAAGCTTTCAAAGGATATCTTGTATTGTTCTGACTACAAGATTATTGAAACTATATATTGATTATTCCCACTGAAGAAAATTACTGGAGGGTAAAGATTTTAAAAAGAACCTCCTACAACCCCATACACATCCTTGTCAAAAAAAGTAATAAATAAATATGCATGTTTTGTTTAAAATATTTTCTCATAACACAAAACACACCCAGAATAAAACTCTTTATCTTGCTTGATGGTAAGACTTGAAGCTATTATTTACACTCGAGCATGTGTGTGTGTGTGTGTGTGTGTGTCTGTGTGTGTGTGTGTGTGTGTGTGTGTGTCTGTGTGTGTGTGTGTGTGTGTGTGTGTGTCTGTGTGTGTCTGTGTGTCTATGTGTAACTCCCAAGTGCTGGGATTACTGGCAGGAGCCTAGGATTACACACCCAGCTGGGATGGCTATTTAGACACACAAGGGAATAATCTCAAAGGGATCTTTTTATCTTATCTTGGTCATCTGGATCTAAGAAAACTAAAAGTGTAATGGGGAAAAAATGAAGTATTATTGCCTACTTTTAAATTTTAAGATATGTTTAAGTCCACCTAATCTGCCTCTATGCAGATGCTTTAGGTTCCCTGAGCACCACATGTAATCAAAATAGAGGAAATAACATAAGAAGAGTTCTATCTGTCCTGTGTGCCTGCAACTGAGCCTTCAGTCTATAAAAGAGTAAGGAGAAATAAATGTACATGTGCACAGTATGTCAAACGGCTTCATTTCTAAAACTGTAATTATAACAATGGAAGAAAAATACTTGATACCTTTTTTGCCAAAATAGCAAGTGGCTTATTTCCTGCTAAGTCAGAGAACCAACTATGAATTGCACTCTGAGATCGAGCAGTAACCAGCCAATAATTATCTTTAGCATTAACTTGGGGTTTCTTCTTTCCGGTGTCCTGGAAAGTGTTAAGCTTTAGTTTCTCGGCCAATATGCTGCTGAAATACGCACCGATCTGTAGAAAGAAATGGAAACCAGACAGTATTTAAGGACAATGTGCAACGATCTAAGGATTACACATTTTATCTTCATTGTTTCAACTAAAATCTTTATACAGCCCATCAGAGAACAAAATGGAAATTTAAATCTTTGACGCCCAAAACTGTGATCTCCATACAGTAAATCCTGAAGCTCAATGGTGTGATGTCCAGTAACACTACGCAAAACTCCACACAGCACCTCTGCCCCACTGACCCCAAGCAGTTGGGAAGAGGGAAGCACCACAGGCTATCTCTGGCAACGCGAAGTTACTTCCACCAGGAAGAATTTCAGAACGGGCTGTGCTTGGATCTTAACTGCACTCTCTCCCTCGCCATACTGCACACTCCACAGGAGAGAACTTGCTCCCACGCAGGGGCACACTGGGGAGGAGAGAGGCCGGGAATCAAGGTAAACATTCTTCTTCTTGTTTCACCTGAATAGCACGTGCTTTTCGAAAGGAAATTCTGTGTTCACACTTGGTGCTGCTTTCTTAAAGAACCTAGAGAAATTTATTTAAAAGGAAGATCGCAAAAGGTAGGGATGAATTAGGTGCTCAGCCTTATGACTGCAGTGCCCATTTTACAAACACAAGGAGAGGACAAGAAAAGGGGGGAGTCACTTAGGCTGAACGGGACAGGATAGAAAAGCCAGCTTCTGCCAGCTACTTTATCTTCCGTGTTATTAATAGGGTAGGGTGGGCAATGAGTGGGGCGTGGAGAGGAGCAAACAGTGAAAGGAGAGACAGCCGAGGGCGGGACGGGAGGAAGATAAGAGATTCAGTCAATCTACAGGAAACCTGCTCAGAGGTTTCAAGAATCCTGAAAGCATCACATTTTGTTCCATGAGAACTTTTAAATCATAGGAAGCAAACAATGTCTAAGAAGTGCCACCAATAGTTAGCAATCAGTAGCAACTTCATGAGATAAGAGCACTACTCTGAAAAAAAAAAATCAATAAGAGTCCCATCTTAGTTAAAAGTCAGAAGTAAGTCTCATGCATAGTGTGACCCAAGAGTCTGACTGGAGCCAACAATCGAGTTGATCCTCAGGACAAAAAGCTGGTACAACTTTTCTGTTAAATGTGAACAGAAATTCCCTGCACTGAAAAATGGTAATAAAAACTGTGGTGGTTTGAATCTGAAGGCCCCCACAGACTCATATATTTGAATGCTTAGTCATCAGGAAATGTCACTATTTGGAAGGATTAGGATTAGGAGGTGTGGCCTTGTTGAGGAAGTCTGTCACTGGAGGCGGGCTTTGAAAAGCCCGTGTCAAGCCCTGAGTCTTGCTCTCTGCCTATGGGTCATGATGGAGCTCTCAGCTACTGCTCCAGTGCTTGCCGGCCACCGTGCTCCCTGCCGTGATGAAAACCACTAAACCTCTGCACTGTGAGCCAGCTCGAATTAAATGCTCTCTTTTATACGAGCTACCTCGGTATTGTCTCTTCACAGGAATAGAATAATGACTAACAAAAACCAGAGTGGGTAGCAAAACAGATACCAGATTTTGGTTTTCAAACAAATTCACTGAAGTTTTTCTACTTAAAGCAAACGTTTCTAGAACTTTCTGTGGATAAATTAAGTAGAAGCAGAACCAGTTGATTGTAAACAAGCAGTCACTAACAGCAAATTATTCGATTTTAAATTTCTCAACTAATATTTGGTCTTTCTCCCAAGGGCATTAAACACCTAAGAGCATATACTCCTGCATATTCAAGAGACCTCTCAGTTGCACTTGTGTCTAGGGACGTTAATTATAATGAAAAAGGGTAGAAAAGTGAAAAGAAAATTACTCTAAGGAGTCAATGTACCCTCTTAATAATAGAAAAAAAACTGAATATAAATGTTTTATAATTCTCCTTAGTGAATTTTGTAAACAAATTCATACTGTAAGCAAAGTCAAAATTCCTAAGTAAGCAAGACAGGAGAAATACACATTAGAGCTCAAAAGAAAATGTTGAAATAATGTAACATTAAAAAACATTTTAAGACTGGTCTCATGCTGGCCTGGAACATACCTCCCCAACCGCAACCAGCTACAGTGCTTAGTTTTCTTCTAACAGCAATATATTTACATTATTCAAAAATCAGAAGATATATTTTTTTAAAGCCTCATTCTCAAAACCTAAGTCCTAACTCCAAGTAATCAATTTGATTAGTTGGTTGTGCAGCCTTCCACTGTTACGTGAACAGACACAAGCAAACACATACTTGTTATTTTCCTTTCTGGCATATCTGGCTCACTATGCCCAGTCAGTATGAGTACACCTGTATGTGGAATTCATTTATTTGTTTAGCCACACAATAATGTTCTGCATGGATATGCTGTCCTTTATTTAATCTGGAGAGTATTAGCGGGCACCTGGAGCATAGGCTCTAAACGACCGTATTATGACTCCTGTCCAAAAGAACACCTTTCACATTTGTTAATGCAGGTACAGGACAATTTCTATAGTTTAGATGGCATGATTCTGCAATTTTAATTATACTGCCATATCACCCTTCACAAGGTCTAATATCAGTTTATATTCTTTCAAACAAAGTGTAAGAAGGTTAACTCAACACTTGATTTTATTCACCCATACCTATTCAGTTAATAGCTCCTTTGATAAGAACATGGGAAAGGTCAGATGTTAAGTACTAAGATTCCTACATTTCATGTTAACGAAATCAAATTCACATAAGAAATATCCGGTCTCTGAATAGACCTCACAGAAAAAGTGGTCCAAGTTGTAACAAGTGTTATTTTTGTTAACTTGGTTACTTAAATTATAAAATGTGACACTAAGAACCAAGAATTGAGCAGTTTATAACACATTAAAAAAAAAACTCCTATTCTCTGATGTGAACTAAACACTGAATGCCCAAAATCCACACACTGAAATCCTAACCGGTGTTACTATATTTGACAACAGCCTTTTATCTTTTTAATTTTATTATAATTTGCATATATATAAGAGAAAGAGAGAGTGGGGTGGGGTGGGGAGGATGTCCAGGCTCACTGATGTCAGAGCATGTGGAGGTCAGAGGACAAATTCCAGGAGACAGATCTCTCCTTTCTAGTTGAGTCAAGGTCTCGCTTTTTACAAAGACAAAGCTTAAGGATGTGTGAACAATGTGTGCAGAAAGCAGGTGGTAGTTTCCTCCTCCCAGATACTTATAGACTGAAACTGTTCATCTAGAGAGACCAACTGTCCAGACTAGCCACCTTGTGCTGTACATTAAAAAAAAAAAGCTGCATTTCCAGGTTGCCGGAGGCGCCCTCCATCAAAGCCAGCACAGCCCACCTGATGCCAGCTTTTCTGTATGTGTGCCTATCATGTCTTCAATATATGTTGTTTCTGCTTTCCTGAGTTGCCCCAGTCAGGAGTCCAGGACCAAGCCATGTAGGTCGTGGCAGCAGATCACTTAAGAAAGACGAAGATGTTCTGGGGACAGGCAGTAAGGTGAGGGTTATATAGCAATGTGAGAGGTTAAACTGCCCACAATCTCCACACTAAAACAGGGTGAAGTGGCAAACAGTAAGTATACTGAATTACATACATAAAACTGTGTATTAAATCACAGATACATAATTATAGTTGTAACATGAAGTATATAAAGATCCCAAAAGACAAAAGTATCACCGTGTCTGATAAATGGAACTACATATAAATATGCTTCTGTTTTCTTTCACATCTTCTCAATAGTATTTCCACTGATGATTTAGTGGTCAATTTTTTGTGTGTTTTTGTGAGAGAAAAGAAGTGTAGATATTGACTTGTGCTTTTTATTTCTTCCCTGTATATGTTTTTAATTTCATGACAATAAAAGTATTTAAATATCAAAGAATAATAATGTAAAAAGAATTTAAAAATCAACCACTAAAATAAAATGAGCAAAAACACTCCTATCTATACATCTAATTGATCCATGGAAAAAAGATATTTAATTTAATAAACTTCTGAACATAATATTCTGACTATAATTTTTTTTACATTTTTAATTAATATATAAGTAATCCCTTTCTCCCTTCCTACCCTCCTTCCAGCCCTCCCAAGCCTCTCCCTCCAACTCTGACTATTCATTTTTAATGAGAGTTGGTCTAAGGACCAAAGGCAGTGTAGAGAAATTGTAAACCTTACACAGAAACTTGGTTGTCGTGATGGCACTGAACGCGTTTCTTCAGAAACATTTTGGGTAGCTGCCACACCAAGCAAACTCTATGGGCACTGTATGGAACAAGTCTCACTTCAGGGGAGGAAGACACGAAGGCCAAACAGGAAGAGGAAAGGAAATACTATGGGATGTACAGGTGGAAATGGTAACAACCGGTAGGTAGATTAAACAGGCACGTTAGACAGAAGTGTTCATCCTCTGTCCACAGAAAGGGCCTGGAACTCACAATGCTCCAGAATTTCTGAGCTTGCCTAGCACCCAGGGGAGACACAGGCAGAACAAGGTGAACCTGGAAGATGCTGAGCAACAACACAAATGGTGGGGATGCTCAACCAGGGTTCAAAAGGCCCCTACTTAAATACTGGAAAACTTGGGCAGCCAAAAGAAAAATGAAGGTAATAAATCATAACACATAAAAATAAAACCAGGAACCTATGAGTGACACTAGAGAAATTCATAGTGACCCTGAAAAAAAGAAGTGTAAAGGGAGCTCTTCACAAAAGAACTCAAGCTAATGCACACATGAGGAATAGTAAGTAGAAAAACATGTCAGCCACCCCCTCCCCATAATAAACCATTCAGCAAGAACCATTAGTGAGCTAGGCATTCCCATAATCCTAGCACACAGAAGACAGGGACAAGAAGGTTGATGCAAATTCAAAGCCAATCTGGTCTACATAGCAAGTTCCTGGCCAGTCAGGGCTACCTGGTGAGACCCTGGCAAAAGAAATGAAGAAGGGGGAATGTGTAGAGGGAAAGAAAACATCATCAACCTTGGTGTGAAATTTATTGAAGTCTAGGCTATTTATATGATTTCAAAATATCCTTATGAGGGGCTTCTGGTACAGCTCAGTGGTAAGACATACACACAGAATCTGGAAGTCCTGAGTTCAATTAAATATAATAACAATAACTAGAGATTACCAAGAAGTAGAAATTGCTATTTTTATAACGTAGAAAGACAGTGGGCATCACAATGACTGATGATTATCAACAATTGGGCAGACAGACACTGCACTCCTCCTGACATAAAGCAATGAATATAGTCTTAGCAAAAAGTGAACCTGAGCTGTCATAGGAAAGCAAAATAAATCTAGACTACAGCAGTAGTATAAAACCGGCCCAGACTCTTCTATAGTGGCAGTCATGAAGCCATAGAAAATAAGTAGAAGGTAGAAAAAGGACACTGAAGTAGTCCCAGAATGGAATGCCTGACAACTAATGCCAGGCGTACTTCATGGTTGGCAAACAGGAGGAAATTTGGAAAATGGAATGTGGCTTAAATAGCATATATATATATATATATATATATATATATATATATATATA